GAGCCCCACCCTAGACCTAATAACTGATCATATTGTTCTTAAAAATCTGATTTTACCAAGATCTCCAGGAGATGCTCATGCTTACTACTGGGTTACAGCATTTATCATCATGCTATTTTTGTCAACGTGGAAAGAGCAGTAGGTTGGCACCCACAGAGTTGCTACATTGGCCTACAGTTAAAAAAAAAAAAAAACAACTGTTCTGAGAAATTTGGAACTGTAAAGAAACCAGGAAACAAAAATTTATCACTGAATCATTTCATTAAAGGGGTGAGAACTCAGAAACTTAAAGGCTTCTTGAGGTGATTTATAAACATGGTATTTCTCAAAAAGCTATCTTTTCACACAGGTAGCCAGTTAATATCCCCTGTTTCAATCTGAATAAGTTAAAACTAACTGGCCTGCAGAACATTAATAACAACCTAATAGTAAGTCAACATGTACTTATTAAACAGCAAGCTCTTGCTAAAAACATCAAGCACTTTGGAAGACAATGGAAAAATCAAATATGCCAAAGACCCAGCTTGATTAGGCATGATCCGTCCGTGTGCAGAGATGGGCAGTTTTAAGAAAAATAAGTGACACAGTTCTTGTCTTCCAAATGCTTTCATGGTGTGACTGCTATCATTTCTTTAGGCAGCCAATCATCTTTCTCCCCATTTGTTCTCTTTGGAACCCTTGATTCCTACCTCATGGAGAGCACTTTTTTAGAAGCAAGATAAAACATTCTCTATTCAACCCTGAATTCACCCTGGCACTCTCAGCCCAGGTTTCTTCTTCAGTGTACTGCCTGCCCTGGAAGTCCCACCACTCAGCAACTATGCAGTGACCAAGTTGCTAAATTCAGGTTCTGCATTCAATGTCCTAGACTTACCCAGCCAGGAACATGGATTTTGAACAAGAAATTTCATAATGGACCTTTCAGGTCATGAGCTCCATGGCTTGAGAAAGCATTTTCAGTAGCAGATAGAATGAGAAGGTGGAAATCTGCAGGGAATCTCACTCTGTGACTCATATGCCAGGGAAGCAAGCATTGATTTGTTATTTGCTCATCTGAAGTTTACCCGCTAACCTCGGGGAACAGTGACTCAAGTGCCCTCCGGCCGCTGGCAGCACAGAGCCCACACTGTACTTATCTTTCTATCAACGGTGTGAGCCCAGCATACAGTCCTGTGCCCCTCCCCGTATTACTCATCCTAACCGGGTTTTGCCCTCTGAGACGATACGTCTCAAACAGACGCTAAGTTCAAATCAGGAGGTCATCCCTATTGTCTTATATGGACAGCTGCTAATGGCATCAAACTTTGTGAAGTGCATGGTGTATTTCTATTAACAGAATAAGAATTGTGCATTTGATGTGTGGTTGGCTACCTAAAGCTCCCTTAAAAAAATGTTTCACAACCATTACACAGTGCCACAGAAACAGTAAGCTTGTGGGCTGAACATCGCTGTAACTGGAGCTCTTGGATCAATTGGTATTACTTGGCAGTTCTGTTTTCGTTACCGAGAAGTCCCATGACTGAGCATTCAAGAGCTGCCAACAGCAATCCAAATGGCATGGCTTCAGGGAACTCGAATTCACTGCTGGGTCTGCTCCTGGACTGGAATCACTGCTGCCATTTGTCCTCTGAGGCAGATGCTGTTGGTATCCCACCCAAATCCTCTTTTTCTAGGCTGAAGCTCCCAACCCACTGCATTTACTGCGGGTGTTGGCTGTTGAAAGCAGCTCACAGCTGCCTCTGTATTCGGGTACCTTCCCTTAGCCAGTGGGCACTCCCTTGTCCACAGAAGCCGAAGGTCAGAGCCGCCTCCCACTGGGGAGGGTGGTCTGCGACCCGAGACTGCCTCTCAGAGTGGTACACAAGTCCAACCCCGTGCCTCAGGCAGAACACGCTGAGGGTCAAGTCATGTTCCAGAGTTCCCTGAAAGATAAGACTAAGGCTAGACGTCTCCTGAAACCACACCTTTCCCTAACAATCTCCCCTCCCCAATCTGCTTCCCTCGCTCCCTTACAGACTTTCCCCAAGATTGCTCTCTCACTCTGTCAACAAATTGCTCACCCAAGAACCTTGCTTGGGTAAGAATCTCTTGCTCCCAAAGAGCCTGTCCTAAAATATCTTTCCAAACAGAGTGAGAGATAGCTTCCTTAATGATACACTGCTATTGAGAACAAGGTATTCAAACTCTTCAGAGGCACTTAAAACACCACTTGAAGTGTAAGAAGTTGCCACTGGTCAGATGCAGTTACAACAGACATAGATCTGGATACAATGTACACAGACAGATGTCTTCATTTGAATTTGAATGGAAGTATACTAAAATCCAGCTGAGTCGCAAATAGGAACTTATCATTCATGCAACAGTTACAGATACTAACCATTGGAAAATTCACCTCTGATAACGGGCTGGAAAAGGATGTGAGTCACGTGTCATGCTCACACATTTAGGTAATAACAGTAACAACAGAATTTTCAGAAATAAGTGACTAAATAATAAAAGTAATTAAAAAGTTGGTATTTATTCATCCCAGGAAGGGTACTAGGTGTTTTATCCAAAACCCTTGTTATTTTCACTACATAACTATGAACATCCAGTGAGCATAGGGAGAACCCCATTCAAGTGTGATTCATCAAAGGCATTTGTTTCTACAGCTGCAAAATAGTTAGAAGGTAGTGGGAAACTGCTACAATGGCTGGAGCATCTTCCTCTAAATGATCAGTCCTTGCCTTTTTGAAACAATTAAGGTAATCATCAGTTCCATCTTCTAAAGGCCCTTCTCCTTCTCATCCCAAGCATCTTTAGTTTCTTTCTTTTATATTTCAATTAACATACCACCTGTTCACTAGAAGCTGTGCTTTTAGCTGAGCTACTGAAAGCAAGAAAGCACTAATCAAACATTAGCACTTTTTTGAAGTCAAATGTAATCTACAAGTGGCAGACAGTGAAATCTTGACACGTAATTGCCTCTACCCTTTTTGTGGGGGAACTCATTTGCCTAGGATATGTACACTCTTTGAAAGTGTGAGTGTCAGTCGCTAGTTGTGTCCAACTCCTTGCAACCCCATGGACTGTAACCTGCGAGGCTCCTCTGTCCATGGGATTTTCCAGGCAAGAATACTGAAGTGGGTCTCCATTCCCTTCTCCCGGGGATCTTCCTGACCCGGGGATTGAACCTGCGTCTCCTGTGTTGGCAGGCGGATTCCTGACGATTGAGCCACCAGGGAAGCCTATTTACACTCTTTAACAAGTTTTCTTCTTTCCATGGGTGGAATTCTGAGTTTTTAGGTACGTACTTGAGCTTCCTTTGAGACATTGAGGGCAAGAAGAAATATATTTACTAATTGGTTACATGTTTCAGAGAGAGACATATGTGCACATGCTGTCTTAATAATGTCAGGTTGCTGGTAATGAACTCTTGCAGGCAGGGAGTTGGAAGGGCCTGTGTGTCTGGGCGCCACCCCACCTCAGATGCTGCTTGGAAACCTCTTCTCTAATGGAAGTAATGTCCTTCCTGTCAAATGAGAGTCCCTCTGTGTGTGCTGGGGTTTCTATCTCAAGGATGATGGACTAGTCTTTTCCCTCTCTCTTCAACATTCTCCCCCCTGGGATAATCACATCAGAGTACAGGATGACTTCCTTGATGGTCCAGCGATTAAGAATCCTCCTTGCAATGCAGGGGACATGGGTTCAATCCCTGGTTAGGGAAAAGATCCCACATGCCATGGAGCAACTAGGCCCACACACAGTAATTCCTGAGCCTTTGTGCTCTGGAGCCGGTGCTGAAGCCCATGTGCCATGACTGGAGAGTCCACGCACAGCAACGGAGGCTCCCCTGTGCCTCAACTATCTGACACAGTCAAACAAAGAAATGCACTTCAAAAAATGTATATATATATATTACTCATCTGAAAACACACACATTCCCCTTCCTTGATTCCAAATCACCCACTGGCTGATTTCATGCCTCCCCTTCCAGTGAAATGTTGATGTTCAGTCTTGCCATCTCCTGTTTGCCCACTTCCAATTTGCCTTGATTCATGGACCTAACACTCCAGGTTCCCATGCAATATTGCTCTTTACAGCATCGAACCTTGCCTCCATCATCAGTCACATCCACATCTGGGTGTTGTTGTTGTTTTGGCTCCATCTCTTCATTCTCCTCTTCATTCTAGGGCTTTCCTGGTGGCTCAGATGGTAAAGCATCTGCCTATAATGTGGGAGACCTGGGTTTGATCCCTGGGCCGAGAAGATCCTCTGGAGAAGGAAATGGCAACCCACTCCAGTACTCTTGCCTGGAAAATCCCATGGACAGAAGAGCCTGGCGGGCTACAGTCCATGGGGTTGCAAAGACTCGGACACGATTGAGCGACTTCACTTTCACTTTCTTCATTCTTTCTGGAGTTATTTCTCCACTGATCTCCAGTAGCATACTGGGCACCTACTGACCTGGGGAGTTCATCTTTCAGTTTTCTATCTTTTTGTCTTTTCATGCTGTTCATGGGATTCTCAAGGCAAGCATACTGAAGTGGTTTGCCATTCCCTTCTCCAGTGGACCACATTCTGTCAGACCTCTCCACCATGACCTGACCGTCTTGGGTGGCCTCACAGGGCATGGCTCATAGTTTCATTGAGTTAGACAAGGCTGTGGTCCATGTGATCAGTTTGATTAGTTTTCTGTGACTGTGGTTTTCAGTCTGTCTGACCTCTGATGGAAAGGATAGGAGGTTTATGGTAGCTTCCTGATGGGAGCTGGGGACTGAGGGGGAAACTGGTTCTGAGGGGCGGGACAGGATCAGTAAATCTTTAATCCAATTTTCTGTTGATGGGTGGAGCTGAGTTCCCTCCCTGCTATTTACCTGGGGCCAAACTATGGTGGAGGTGATGAAGATAATGGCGACCTCCCTCAAAAGGTCCCATGCATGCACTGCTACACTCAGTGCCCCTGACCCTGCAGCTGGCCACCACCGACCCGCGCCTCTGCTGGAGACTCCTGGACACTCATGGGCAAGTCTGGGTCAGTCTCTTGTGGGGTCACTGCTCCTTTCTGCTGGATCCTGGTGTGCACAAGGTTCTGTTTGCATCCTCCCAGAGTCTATTTCCCAGTCCTATATAAGTTCTGGCAGCTTTATGGGGGGTTAATGGTGACCTCCTCCAAGAAGGCTTATACCATGCCCAAGTCTGCTGCACCCAGAGCCCCTGCCCCTGCAGCAGTCCACTGCCGACCCGCACCTCCACAGGAGACGCTCAAACACAGCTCTGTCTCAGTCTCTGTGGGGTTCCTGGGTCCTGGTGCGAACAACATTTGTTTGAGCCCTCCGAGCATCTCTGGCAGGAATGGGGTTTGATTCTAAATGTGAATTCACCCCTCTTACCATCTTGCTTCTTGGACGAGGGGTATCTCCTTGGGTGCTCTAGCACTGCACTGCTTGCTGCTCATTATATCTACTACTGTGGGCAAGAATCACTTAGAAATGGAGTAGCCATCATAGTCAACAAAAGAGTCTGAAATGCAGTACTTGGATGCAATCTCAAAAATGACAGAATGATCTCTGTTCGTTTCCAAGGCAAACCATTCAATATCACAGTAATCCAAGTCTATGCCCCGACCAGTAATGCTGAAGACACTGAAGTTGAAGGGTTCTATGAAGACCTACAAGATCTTCTAGAATTAACATGTCAAAAAGCTGTCCTTTTCATTATAGGGGACTGGAACGCAAAAGTAGAAAGTCAAGAAACACCTGGAGTAACGGGCAAATTTGGCCTTGGAGTACAGAATGAAGCAGGGCAAAGGCTGATAGAGTTTTTCCAAGAGAATGCACTTGTCATAGCAAACACTCTCTTCCAACAACACAAGAGAAGACTCTACACATGGACATCACCAGATGGTCAACACTGAAATCAGATTGATTGTATTCTTTGCAGCCAAAGATGGAGAAGTGCTATAGAGTTAGCGAAAACAAGACCAGGAGCTGACTGTGGCTCAGATCATGAACTCCTTATTGCCAAATTCAGACTGAAACTGAAGAAAGTAGGGAAAAACCACTAGAGCAATCAGGTATGACCTAAATCAAACCCCTTACGACTATACATTTGAAGTGAGAAATAGATTTAAGGGGCTAGATCTGATAAACAGAGTGCCTGATGAAATATGGACAGAGGTTCGTGACATTGTACAGGAGACAGGGATCAAGACCATCCCCAAGAAAAAGAAATGCAAAAAAGCAAAATGGCTGTCTGAGGAGCCCTTATAAATAGCTGTGAAAAGAAGAGAACTGAAAAGCAAAGGAGAAAAGGATATACCAAAGGATATACCATATTGAAAGTGCTGCACTCAATATGCCAGCAAATTTGGATATACCCATTTGAATGCAGAGTTCCAAAGAACAGCAAAGAGAGATAAGACAGTCTTCTTTAATGATCAGTGCAAAGAAATGGAGGAAAACAATAGAATGGGAAAGACTAGAGATCTCTTCAAGAACATTAGAGATACCAAGGGAACATTTCATGCAAAGATGGGCTCAATAAAGGACAGAAATGGTAGGGACCTAAAGAAGCAGAAAATATTAAGAAGAGGTGGCAAGAATACACAGAAGAACTATACAAAAAAGATCTTCACAACCCAGAAAATCATGATGGTGTGATGACTCACTTAGAGCCAGACATCCTGGAATAAGAAGTCAAGTGGGCCTTAGGAAGTATCACTGAACAAAGCTAGTGGAGGTGATGGAATTCCAGTTAAACTATTTCAAATCCTAAAAGATGATGCTGTGAAAGTGCTGCATTCAATATGCCAGCAAATTTGGAAAACTCAGCAGTGGCCATAGGACTGGAGAAGGTCAGTTTTCATTTCAATCTCTAAGAAAGGCAATGCCAAAGAATGCTCATACTACTGCACAATTGCACTCATCTCACATACTAGTAAAGTAATGCTCAAAATTCTCCAAGGCAGGATTCAACAATATGTTAACCATGAACTTCCAGATGTTTAAGCTAGTTTTAGAAAAGGCAGTGGAACCAGAGATCAAATTGCCAAAATCTGCTGGATCATCGAAAAAGCAAGAAAGTTCCAGAAAAATATCTATTTCTGTTTTACTGACTATGCCAAAGCCTTTGACGACGTGGATCACAATAAACTGTGGAAAATTCTTAAAGAGATGGGAATACCAGACCACCTCACCTGCCTCCTGAGAAATCTGTATGCAGGTCTGGAAGCAACAGTTAGAACTGGACATGGAACAACAGACTGGTTCCAAATAGGAAAAGGAGTACATCAAGGCTGTATATTGTCACCCTGCTTATTTAACTTCTATGCAGAGTACATCATGAGAAATGCTGGGCTGGATGAAGCACAAGCTGGAATCAAGATTGCCAGGAGAAATATCAATAACCTCAGATATGCAGATGACACCACCCTTATGGCAGAAAGTGAAGAAGAACTAAAGAGCCTCTTGATGAAAGTGAAAGAGGAGAGTGAATAAGTTGGCTTAAAACTGAACATTCAGAAAACTAAGATCATGGCATCTTGTCCCATCACTTCATGGCAAATTGATGGAGAAACAGTGGAAACAGTGACAGCCATTATTTTGGGGGGCTCCAAAGTCACTGCGGATCGTGACTACAGCCATGAAATTAAAAGACGATTACTCCTTGGAAGCAAAGTTATGACCAACCTAGACAGCATATTAAAAAGCAGAGACATTACTTTGCCAACAAAGGTCCATCTAGTCAAGACTATGGTTTTTCCAGTGATCATTCATGGATGTGAGAGTTGGACTATAAAGAAAGCTGAGTGCCGAAGAATTTATACTTTTGAACTGTGTTGTTGAGAAGACTCTTGAGAGTCCCTTGGACTGCAAGGAGATCCAACCAGTCCATCCTAAAGGAGATCAGTCATGGCTGTTCATTGGAAGGACTGATGCTGAAGCTGAAACTCCAGTACTTGACCACCTGATGCGAAGAGCTGACTTATTTGAAAAGACCCTGATGCTGGGAAAGATTGAGGGCAGGAGGGGAAGGGGACGACAGAAGATGAGATGGTTGGATGGCATCACTGACTCAATGGACATGAGTTTGGTAAACTCTGGGAGTTGGTGATGGATGGGGAAGCCTCACTTGCTGCAGACTATGGGGTTGCAAAGAGTTGGACATGACTGAGTGACTGAACTGAACTGAACTGAACTGACTGAACTTCCAGCGAAACTGATAAGCAGCGCTGCCTGTACTTAGAGTCTCTACTTTCACCTCTCACTCACTCTTCCTCCAGGGCCAGCTTGCAGTCCCACCTCTGCACTGACACTGCTCTTGTTGAGTCATCAGTGACTGCTGTGTTGATGGGCCTGCAAATGGTAGATACTTTTCTGTCTTTGTCTCATTTGGCCTCTGGTTAGCCGAAAAGTCTCTCCTATTCTCAGCAGTTTCCTGACTTCCATGCACTGGTCGTATCCTGGTAAACTGGCTCCAAGTAGGGGAAAAACCCTGATTTGGAGCATTTTCCTCTTTTTACGGTGTAAATAAATACTCCCACCATGGCCAGTATCAAGCCCTCCATGGTTTAACAATGGCTCACACAGCTCCGCTTCCATGGACGGACCCTGACACTACTTTTTCTGAGTTTTCTCCTGTAACCTCTTATCTGCTTCATGCATTTTGCTGGTTGTTCCTTCACAGTCAAAATTCTAAACGTTGATTTTCTTTAGGTTTTGGATCTAGGGTCTTTTCGCTTCTCCTTTCTTCACAGAACATGTCAACTATCCACATGGTTTTCTTTCCTTTAAAAATAAAAAATGTTGCATCTATTTTAGGCAATCACATAACAATGGAAATTATATTAAAATGAGTTTCAAGCCTGCCTCTGTCCCCACTCCTCTTTTTTTTTTTTTAATTTTTATGTAAGCTTTTTATTTTTATTTATTTTTTTTAAATTTATTTATTTTTTTCATTTATTTTTATTAGTTGGAGGCTAATTATTTTACATCATTGCAGTAGGTTTTGTCATACATTGAAATGAATTAGCCATGGATTTACATGTATTCCCCATCCCGGTCCCCGCTCCCACCTCCCTCTCCACCCGATCCCTCTGGGTCTTCCCAGTGCACCAGGCCCAAGCACTTGTCTCATGCATCCAACCTGGGCTGGTGATCTGTTTCACCCTAGATAATATACGTGTTTCGATGCTGTTCTCTTGAAACATCCCACCCTCGCCTTCTCCCAGAGTCCACAAGTCTGTTCTATACATCGGAGTCTCTTTTTCTGTTTTGCATATAGGGTTATCATTACCATCTTTCTAAATTCCATATATATGTGTTAGTATACTGTAATGGTCTTTATCTTTCTGGCTTACTTTGCTCTGTATAATGGGCTCCAGTTTCATCCATCTCATTAGAACTGATTCAAATGAATTCTTTTTAATGGCTGAGTAATATTCCATGGTGTATATGTACCACAGCTTCCTCATCCATTCGTCTGCTGATGGGCATCTAGGTTGCTTCCATGTCCTGGCTATTATAAACAGTGCTGCGATGAACATTGGGGTGCACGTGTCTCTTTCAGATCTGGTTTCCTCGGTGTGTATGCCCAGAAGTGGGATTGCTGGGTCATATGGCAGTTCTATTTCTAGCTTTTTAAGAAATCTCCACACTGTTTTCCATAGTGGCTGTACTAATTTGCATTCCCACCAACAGTGTAAGAGGGTTCCCTTTTCTCCGCACCCTCTCCAGCATTTATTGCTTGTAGACTTTTGGATAGCAGCCATCCTGACTGGTGTGTAATGGTACCTCATTGTGGTTTTGATTTGCATTTCTCTGATAATGAGTGATGTTGAGCATCTTTTCATGTGTTTGTTAGCCATCTGTATGTCTTCCTTGGAGAAATGTCTGTTCAGTTCTTTGGCCCATTTTTTGATTGGATCATTTATTTTTCTGGAGTTGAGCTGGAGGAGTTGCTTGTATATTTTTGAGATTAATCCTTTGTCTGTTGCTTCGTTTGCTATTATTTTCTCCCAATCTGAGGGCTGTCTTTTCACCTTGCTTATAGTTTCCTTTGTTGTGCAAAAGCTTTTAAGTTTCATTAGGTCCCATTTGTTTATTTTTGCTTTTATTTCTAAAATTCTGGGATGTGTCCCCACTCCTCTTACCCATTTAGTCTTCAGGTAAACCCTTTTGCATTCTTCCTTGTGTGTTCTTTCAGTATTTCCTTTTCTTTGTGCAAATGTATGCATATGAGTATGTGTGTATTTTTATTTCTCCCTTTTCTTACACAAAAGGCAGAATTAAACACTATCCTGTTTCCTGTTTTTTTCCCTTCCCCTTTATCCTAGAGCTTTTTCAGTATCAGTAAAGATATACCC